TTGTCTTTAATACACCTACATGGATTTACATATACTATATATCTTCTTATTTGCGTTGTTTCATGTTTTTTCCTCTTATTAATGAACTAGCCTGTCTTTAATTGTTTTCTTCCTATAGAGTAAGAGTCAGCAGCTACAAGTTCATCAATTTCAAGTGCTTCTGGAGAAGATGATAATGATATTGATCATACTCAAGATCTAGGTGGATAATTAATTAATAATATTATTTCTTATTTAGCTTTTAACAAACCTTAAATGCTTGTATGAACTTTTAACCTGCATGTGGAAGTTTGGAGCTTTTTATCATACTTTGATTTTTTGTGACTTTGTGTAAGATTGTGTGATTGAATCTGGATGATATTATGTGATGTTGTTAAATTACAATAAGGTATGGTTATTTCATATTTGGCATGCCACTTGGTATGCAAAATTTGTTGGTAGCTTTGTAAGGTAGAATATTTGCCTTGTAACCCATTTGATATTGGCTTAAATGGGTTGTCATCAGGTTATGGGCTAACCTGTGCCCATTTAACAATAAATGGGTGGGCTACAGGCTAGCCCGTCCCTCCTATTGCTCGGCCCTAAAAAAGACATAATATTTCGTACGGTTTGTGTATGCATGATATTTTGTATAGTTTCTTATATATTGATGCACCACTTTTCCCCTTTAGCTGACCAAAAAGATTGATATTTTACTGTATTGGCTCCTTTTTAATGTTAACCTGTGTTTTTAGCAAGTTTTGTTTATAGATATTTAAATGTGCTTTCCGTATTTAATACTTTTTCTTATTATATTTCGCCTATTTGTAAAATGGGCTCTGAAATTTCAATAATTATAGAGCTGAAACATCCTGATGTTCCAGCTCAAAAAAAAAAAAAAGAAGAAGCAAGATTAGACATGCTGAATAATGAAAGTCCATAAAAGCTAATGCTGTTTGGCCTAAAAAAAGCTATCAGGATCAAATGTGCTCAGTGAGTTGCTGAGAAGCTACATAAAATCTCGAGAAGGTTGAATATCACAATAAAGAACCCAAAGATAAAAAGAAGAAAGACATATGAGAACCTGTCATATATTTGCAGAGTTATGGTTCAAATCAGCACTTATTTGACATTGAATGACAATGCAAAATCTCCAACTTAATGGTTGTATAAGAATGTAAGAAAGAATTGACTGCTACAATGAAGAACTTCAAAAGTGTCATGTTCCTGTTAGAATTTTTCTTTGGTAGCACTACTCCTAATTAATACAAGAAACTCTCAATCCATATGGGAAAAAGACAATAGAATATTTTGAAAATTGTTAAAGGACAAATCAGTGTGGATGAATTTCAAAATCTCAATTTAGACCCCTTATATTACTTTGGAATTTTCAAATATTGTGAAATTATGCAAATGCCCTTCACTATTTTTTTTTTTTTTAAATATTGCCATCTCAGTACCCTTAGTCAATTTTTGGTTGCCAGAGCTTAGATACGTGCAACCCTATTGGTGGCCGGTCGTTGTAGCTCTGGTGACAAGTCACTGGAACTCTGGTAACTACTCTTTTTTATATACTGACTACTATTTTTTAGCTATTGACTACATTTGTTTTTAAAATTTTAATAACTATCTTTGTTTAACTATTGACTAGTTTAGCATTGTGGTTAACTACTTTCAATTTTAAAAATTTGATGACAACTCTTGTTTAGCTATTGACTACTTTAGCTTCGCTATTAACTACTTTTGTTTCAAAAATTCAAAAAATGTAATACATATTATTAGAAATCTAGTGACTGCTTTTCATTTAGTTATTTACTATTCTTATGTAGTCAATAACTGTACAAAAGTAGTCATTAGAATTTGGAAAACAAAAATAGTCAATGACAAAACAAGAGTAGTCAATAGCGATATAAAAGTAGTCATATCGTGTAAGCACAATGTTGTTATTTTATAATATTTTAAAATTTCAAAATAGTAGAAAAAGTTTGATTTGAGATTGTGAAATTCACCTATCCTAATTTACCTTTTAGCATTTTTTAGGATATTTTGGTGTTGTTTTCCCTAATATAATTATGATTTTTCAATTTTATCCATATTTATTAGTGGCACACAACTACCTATTGTACATTAAAAGAAGAGTAAAATATTTTGACTACTCTTCTAGTTTGCATCAATTATATAGACCTCCCCTCTATTTTAAAAATATACAATTTAGTCTAATCAGTTAACATTATTAGGAATATTCTAAAAAGATTCTAAAATATTATTTTAAATCAAATTTATTTTATTTTATTCCTCATTTTAATAAATTTCTACATTATATTTTTACGGTTACATGAATTTCATTTAGTCAAGGCAAACATAAAAAAATTGATTAAAAATTTAACTAATTTTAAAATAAATGTATATATGGTTAACTAAATATGTTTATAAATTTTTGTAACAAATATATGTTTAAAAGTTTTGAATTATAAATTTAAATAATTTATAAAATCTTTCAAACTTATATCATTTAAATCATATGATAAACAGAAACTACGCATTTGGAATATGTTTTTACAATTTAAAAGAAATCAAAGTAAATAATTTCTAATGAATGTGATAAAAAATTAAACTTATAAAATTTTATGATTTAAATCAAAATTAATGAATGTTATAATATATTAGGAATTTTAAAAATATATGTATTAGAATTATTTTTTGATTTTACAAAATTTTTTTGGAAATATAAATGTCTATTAAGTTTAAAAGGGACATTTTGTTTAAAAAATAATTTAAATTTAAAACTTAATGGTTAACTAAAAGTTTAGGTAGATAGAAATGAAATTTTAAATATAGAAAGGAGGTTTGTATAATATATATTTTAATTTAAAGAAAAATTTATATATGTTTTTAAAATAGAAAGGAGGTTTCTGTAATTGAGATAAAATATAAAGATCATAAATGTATTTTACTCTTAAAAGAAAGAGGTGAGAGATTTGTATAGGAGCAAAGACGGAAAAAAAATTTCAATTTAAGACATATTTAATGATTTATCCACTTCTTCTCATGAAGTGATTAAGGTAATTTATATTTTGCACTGAAAGGAGTACAAACACACACACACACACACACACTCTTATGGTCTTATTTATCGGGTAAAGAGGGAATTTTTTTGTCTAATTTATAAGTCATTTTATTACATTTTTAGCGCAAATATATTATTTCATCCTTCATTTATTATAATCTAGATAATTATTTTTTTAAAAGGTTTATATATTAAATAGGGATAAAATTGAAAATTTGTTATTTTTTAATAGAGTTAATATACTTTAAGGTTTTTCTTGATTTATGTGAAATATGCTGAAAATGTCTTATAAATAAAATTAGAAAAGTATGTGTGTGTGTGTGTATATGGGGTACTTCCCATTTCAATTTACAAACAACCTGTTTAAATAGAGGACCAAGGTTGTGCTTTAGAGCATTTAAAAGCAAAATTGAACTTAAATGAGTTAGTTCTATAGACCTCAAAAATAAAAGAGTCATCCCTTTTAAGTTGGTCTATTTTTTTATTATTAAAACCTAATAAGTTATTAAAATAATCTACCTTTATTTTTTTGGGAAAATTAATCTAATAGCCCTCATAGTTCTATTAAATTTTGAATTCGGTTCTTTTTATTGAATCCTCATGGTTTGGTCCGTTAAATGCTCCAAGCTTCCGTTAATAACAATAACTATCACTGAAAAAATGACTAAGGATCCTTCATCCGGGGACTAGAATCACATTCTACCTCTATTTGAAGTCAAAATAAAAAGCTTATGTCAATGATCTTTCTTCATTATCTTCTCTATCCTATAATTCTGAAAGAGAAGCTCTCAATCTTGATGGTGAAAGAATGAAAAAATCCTAACCTAAATACAAATCATTTTTCCCTCTCAACAAATTTTAATGAATTTGTAGCTAGAAGAATATGCAGAAGAGAAGCAAAGAGGAGTTTTTGTGGTTGGTGAGAAGCATGCAAGAGGATAGAAAGCAAATAGAGGAGTTTCAAAAAGAGTAAACCAACACCAACGCACCAAAACAATACCACCATGAATGAGAGTGATCACTTGATCAAATCTCCTTTTAGTTGCTTTAGGGTTTAATCAAAATTTTAAATCGAATTAGTATAACAAAATGCATAACTCGGGTCATCTTATTTGTTGGAGTTCTATTTATTAATCACAAGTTAACTAAATATCATAAAAATACAAATTGATTAGGAAAGGATTTGAGCTTTCATTGAAATCAGTCCTCATGAGTAACCCACAATTCAAAAGCCTTTTACTTTGTAACCGTACAAGAAACATAGATTTCCCAAGTCGGAATTTTGAACACCACATTTAGAAAAAGAAATTTTGAAAATGACCATCATAAGTTTAATTAATTTTTTTTGTCCATATCTTGTATTCATATAGAAGTCAACTATTCATCAAAAGTCGTTCTCCATACACTTGTCATAAGAAAAACTAGTGTGATCGCCCTCGTGCGATGCCCAGGAAGCATGCGCTGGTGAGCGTGTAAATCAACAAAAATTTGAACAATAGCGTCTCATAAATGGGAAGCAAATCAATACTTTATATATTGTAGCATATCAGAAAACCAAGTGGATAAAAAAACAGCACCACAGGCTTACATTATGGAAAACTTCACGATAAACAACATTTGTGGTGAGAGTCATCCCATTACAATAATATCCATGCAAAAGAATCTTAAGCCCTTCAATACACTTAACCCTCAAAAGAGCAATGTATAAGTGCCCATGCGTAAACATTGGCTTCGGAAGGTATAAATCTACATAACGCAATGATTGTCCTTGACTTTTATTGATCGTTATTGCAAATGAAATAGTGATAGGGAATTGCCTTCATTTCATTCTAAATGGTAGTCAACTATCTAAAGGATTCATATCCATTTGAGGAATTAAAACCTTCTGATTAGGTTTTGACCCATTCAACGTTATAGCTTCAATGACAAAATTCCCAAGATGAGTAATTTTTAATCAAGTTCCATTGCATGATCCCGAAGCTTGATCAATGTTCCTCAAGAGCATGATTGGCATCCCAACCTTGAACGTTAACTTGTGCACAGGCATACCAGAAGTATTAATGGTATTTAAAAACTTTGTTGTATGCAAATCCTTAAATCCATCATTGTTTTGGGATGATTTGTAAACAGAATCATAGCTCAGATAGTCCACTGAATCACCAAGCAACAACAAACACATATAATCATTAACTTGGTTGACAATCTCACTAGTGGGGGCCAATATAGCCCTGTCATTAAAGTAGCTGCTGCTATCCAGGTTCTGTAGCAAGTCATCATAAATAGCTGACACAATCACAGTAACAGGATCTTTATATCAATCAATAAAAAATTCACTAGGGATCTCAATTTCTGCTATTCCATCATGTGGCATTCCTAACTTACTATGACCAACCTCCAAGAGCCAGTGTGAGAATTGTTCTAAGCGACTATGATCTTCTTTAGAGGAAGATGAAAACAAATGTAGGTTGAGTCAACTGAAAGATGGTGCAATAATCCTACAAATATGAGGAGCCAATACATGTATTAACAACATATGCTCTTGTATCTTTTGGGATAACAGGTAGAATTTGATGAAAGTCACCAATCATCACAACACACTTCCCACCAAAAGGATGATTACAATGTATGATATCCCTTAATGTATGATCAAAGGCTTCAATGCAATGCTATTGGACCATAGGAGCCTCATCCCATATGATCAGTTTGGTGGCTTTGATTAAATTACCTAATGGCAAATGATGCTTTATATTGCAAATTGAATCTTCATTAACTTGGATAGGAATAGCAAACCTCGAGTGACCTGTCCTTTCGGATGGTAATAACATCACAGCTATACCATGGATGCTACCACAAGAACATCACCTTGACCATGAATGGTTGATGTCAATGCATTCCATAGGAAGGTCTTCCCTGTCCCTCTGTAACCATATACAAAGAAAAAGGTGTGACGACCGTTCTTTCAAAACCATTGTAGATGAAATTCAACAATTTATTCCAAAGATTAACCATGATAGAAAAGAAAAGAAGAAACCTTAAAATTTTAAAATCACTATCATGGTTAAAAAAAATAAACTTATATCACGAGCACATCGATACTTAACTTGGGCCTTGGACTATCAAAGTCCAGAAATATCATTCCACCCATTAGCCCAAATCAAGCTTATATTTTCAAACGTACGAACTAATAAATCAGTTTAATATAAACTATAGAGCTCATTAGTCAAAAGTCAACACTTTCAAAGGAGCGTTACATGCAGAGTTTAAGATGTCTCGGGCCTCCTCGCGGCCCTATCATACCAGATGCTAGTAATTAAAAGTATTCTTTTACATCATGATAGTAGATGAGCCCTATATGGCAATATATAACAAGTCAGCACATAGAATAAAAGCAGGGAGGCTATACAAACTATAACAGCATACTATGCCTCCAGAGCCTTCCCTGATGGGCCACCACCTGAACTATCGCCTGAAAATGTTAAATCACGGGGTGAGACAAATGCCTCAGTAACCAGCTTTCCAACTCATCATACATACTAACACGTGCTCGTGAGGTGTCAAGTGGGATAGTTATTAATTCTCGAGAAACATAGATATATCCATAACAATATAATTTCAATCATCCAAACCCTCACTATGGGGGTCAACACACAAGCCACATAAGTCTATCCCTCACTCTGGGGGATCAATCAAACATATGGCCTATCCCTCACTTTGGGGGACGAATAAGAAGCCACGAAGGCCTATCCCTCACTATGGGGGACGAAAAAAGAAGCTAACCCATGTGCACCAATGGCGGCCTTACCACGTGGTAGGATAGGACTCAATCCCAAAATCCAAATAACAACCAATCATTCACAATATAATAAAAATGTCTCAATCTTTTCTCAGTATAATCCATAAGATATAAATCATATATCTTTTCCAAACTTCTCAATCACAATTCCAAAAATCCCACAAGACAATTTTCATAGCTCAAAAGATATAACATATCTACTCAAATTCCAAATATCAACTATCATTCTAAAAATAGCAAAATACTCACAAACAACATATTAGCACATATAACAAGTGGAAAGTGGTTACCTCTCGCCAAAGCAATACTAAGAATTACCACAAGCTCAATCCTTTGCTCAACCAAAAATTAATCTACACAATTAATATAACCACATATTAATACAAACTAATTAATTAATTAAACTTCTCTATATTAGTTAAATTCCTAATTTAATTTAATTTTCATTCTAAATTCTCACAACTCTTATAACCCAAAATTAAGTACTTTAGAACTAATTGATAATTTTCTAATAAGCCAAATTATTTATTTACATCCTCCAACTTATTTACTTTAATAAAAGGAATTTTTCAAAATTTCTAAATATGAAATTAGTATATTCTAAATTCTAAAAATCTCATTTGAAATTTAAACCTCAAAACCGAACCATAAAAATTCATTAGTGTCTCAAATATTTATATATATAAATGATCTAATCAAAATTTTAATGGCATATATATATATTTCATAAATAATAAACTTTAACCACAATAATTATTTTAAAACCTCCAGTCACCCAATAAATAAAACTAAACCGATTAAAATCTCAATAATATGTCAAACAACCCAAATAAATTATTTAACTTAATTTTAATCGGTATAAATATGATATATCTTATAACTAACATATTTTTTTAATTAAAAATTAATTTTTAAATACTAAAATCAACAAATAGACAAATCTAAACCGGTAAAAATGATCTACTATAACAAATCTACAATACTGTGGTTAACACTCATCAAAACTAAGTACTTGCTCCTAACTCTATATCAAAAATTTTCTCTAAGCAACACAAAATTACTATCATTAGATAGATCTGACTGAGTAGGACAACTTTCATTAAGGAAGTTTTGTAATCAGAAGTAGTTTTACTTACTAAAACTATCTGAAACGATGAAAAAAGAAGGGAGAGAGATGACCGACGCTGCAACCGAAATAAACGCGGGGAGAGAGAGAGAGGGGAAGAGAAAAGAAAGATGGTGGAGTGTAAAAAGAAAACACTAGGGGTAAACTGAAGTTAAAGACCCTAGGTAAAACGGAGAAAATAACAGTTTGGAACCCTTTTTTTTTTAATATTTAAATCCTTAGAGTAGAATTTAAGATGTTACAAAAGGCACCCAAGAGGGAAGATAATGAAGAGATAACAACGTCATAGATATTCTTTTGCTCTACATTCAAGGATTCCAATGAATTCCTCGACTCTTCCCTGTAAACAGTACGATCATAATTTAGTTCCTGTATTGTCAAGTGATTCCTAACATCAAATACAAGACATGAGGAGGGGTAAGAAAGTAATGGAAAGTCTTGAAGGCTTTTCCCATTCTCTTGCAATAATGCTTCAATCTCCTTTAGTGTAGCTTGTCTTTTATCGTCATCTGATATAGAAACTCCTATAAAAAAATGCAAGAATAAGTAAAATTTCACAAATGTTAAAACCAGGACACCAATATACTAATTCTAGTAATATTACTTACCAAAGGATAGAGGATCATTCTGTGAGATATACAATAAATCCTCCAACAATATTTTTGAGGTCTCTTTCCAGACCACATCAGGTCAACTCAATGAAGAACATAACAACATGCTGATAAACACTTTTTTTAGTAAAGTACCAATTCCCACATAGATGCCTCCTTAATCCCATTTATGTATTCGATATCATCATCTAACAACCCAAGAGCATAACATACAACTCTAAAACTAGGGTAAACAACACCATTCACTATTCTAATATCCTCAAATGAAGTGGGACCTCTAATTTTTGTGATAAGCATATGAATGTAATAAAGTTCTCCAAAAAAAAGGTGGTATATGAGTAATCTTGCCAATAGCAAATCATTTTTCTCTAACTTTCCATTCTCTCTTACTTTGCTGATAAACATAGTATCAAGGAAACTTAGAGTATGTCAATGTTTTTGCAAAATCCTTCTTAGAATTCATCTTTATCCATGCAAGAAACATTGATTCACTTACTCTTGGTTTATCTAACTGAAATGTCCTGCCTTTAACCCCTCAGAGTACGCATTCGTAAGCCCATGGATTTAAAAATTTCAACATAATTACTCGGGTTACTATTCACTGTTTAAGTTTCAGATTACAGGTCCGACTTCAAAAATTCATAACTAATTCCATAAAAATCTTATTGAGGTGTTCTAAAATTCTACAAAAAGATATTTCAATGTTCTTTAAGAGAAAAATATCCAATTGGACTTATCCTTTCCCAATTCGTACATTTTAATTAATAAATGCTACTACTTATTTCATAAAATCTGAAATTTCTAGATTCTGTGCCTAACTTTAGAAATTTGTATCTCCTTGTATACACATCCAATTGAGGTGATCTACCTCTCATTTTAAATCTTGGAATGTGTACTATGAGTCTACCAAATCTTGTGACCTAACTCATTTGTTTGGTAGGTCAAACTAAAGCTACAAACTCACTACTCCAGGACCTACGTTTTATCCCTTAACATCTCTTTACTTTAATTCTTTTTATTTCTTTGGCATACATAACATGTGCTTACTCTTTCCCATTCATGCTCATACATTTCTATACATGCCATAAGCATTATAATTAAATACGTGGCATCATTGACATCCATAACAATAATTACATAATAGGAGAATTACACAATGAATAATAATATTATTTATTGACATCAATAATTCTCCACTTTCTTCTCCTTGTTTCTCATGCCATTATTGCCCATTGATGATTGACCTAAATAGTTGGTTAGGAAGGGGTGAGATTCAGGGGAATCTCAGTAGCAAACAATACCATATTAATCATGCTAGATGGATGCTAATGCACTACACGTAACTTGTTTATTCTCTTGTTAATTAGTGACATATTAGCATGCTCAAAGCTAACTTCTTGATGCATGGCCATGGAGACATAATCTACTCATCATGAATAGCAATTACAGCAGCTAAAACATGTCACAATAACATTCAATAACATGTACACGGCAACACACAAGCATACAACATCAAGCAATAACAATAGGTAGATGTTAGATTGAAATAAAACTGCACAAGCAACATTTAGAATATGTTGATTCTTTTTTTCCACCAAACCATTCTGTTGAGGTGTTTCAACATAGGAGGTTTGGTGAACAATTTTTTTTTGAATCATAAAAGGACTGCATAGCAAACTCAGGACCATTGTTAGATCTTAAGGTTTTGATTGTTGTGGGTGGTTTTCAATTAAAATCAAAAAATTCTTAAGGTGGGTTCTTGTATCAAATTTAGAGTGTAACAAAAAAAATCTAAGTATGGCGAGAAAAATCATCAACTATGGTGAGAAAATAATGATAACCTTAAACAGAAGGAGTAGAAAAAGGACCCCATACATCACAGTGAATCAAATCAAAAATTTTATTAGATGAACTTGTGCTTACAGGAAATGATAAACGTTTCTACTTAGCAAAATGACAAGCATCACAAGGAAAAGTATAAGAGGTACAAGGAATTTCGGGACAATGCTTATGTAAAGTGGAAAGAGAGGTATTAGAAATGTGTCCTAATCATACACAAGGTGGAAGTAGAATTGGAAGTATTGACAGAAACGATATTGGAAGAAACCATATACACTTGAGGAGTGGGTGAAGAAATCATATCTGCATGAAGAATGTAAAGCCCTTCAAAAAGTTTAGCTAAACCAATCATCTCCAAAGGATTGAGTGAGAGAATCTGACAAGAATCAAAGAAGGTAAGAAAGCAATTAAGAGACAATGTAAGTTAGGAAACAGAGACAATATTAAAGGAAAAATTAGAAAGAAAAAGAACATTGGTGAGAATTAAAAAAGGAGATATTACAATCATGCTAGAAATAGTGGAAACATCTTGAGTCCCTGTAGGTAAGCTAACAGAGACAAGGGAAATGAAATGATATGAAGGAAAAAAAAATCAAGATTGTTATAGACATGGTTAATGGCACCCGAATCAATGATCTAAGTAACATAATGTAAAAAAGAAGAATTGGATATACTTGTAGGTGATTTAGCGGAAGCAATGAAATGATTTATAGAGGTCGAAGGTTGTGGAGGTGCAAGGAGAGTAAGAAGATGTTGATATTGATCAGAGGTGAGGTGTGGTAGGATAGAAGCCATAGAAGATGAGGGAACAGGGAGCGATGCAACAGTATGAGTTTCTTGAACATTACCAAAGTCTTGAGTAGAGATGTTATTCACCGTGGTAGAGGATTGAAATTTAAAGCTTGGAGGAAAACCATGTTTCGTATAGCAAGTTGCTTCAGTATGACGAGGTTGACTATAATAGCTGCACTATTTAGTGACCATAGACGTAGGCTTGGGACCAACCGGAGCATAATGAGGAGACAGAGATGGTCCTTTGGCAAGCAGAATCTTCGAATCAAGAGGATGAGTAAGTTCCTATTCTTGTTGAATCATAAGAGACAAAACTAGGTTGATTAATGGTGAAGGATCAACAAGCATGATTTGGGATTTAATGGAGGCATACGAATCATTGAGACCTTTCAGAAACCTAATTATGCGATCTTGTTCACGATGAGTATGCGCCGTGTTTGCAAAATTACAGGAGCATGGCTTAATCAGTTGAATACTGTCCAATTCGTCCCATAAGATCTTCAGACAAGTATAATACTCACTAACACTAAGATTGCCTTGCGTAAATTGTAGATTTCCTCTTGTAATTCAGTGATGCGAAACAGATCAGACTTAGAATATTGCAATCAGAGATCACTTTAGATGTCGGATGCTTTGTCAAACTAGAGGATGCTTTTTGCAGTAGTCAAAGAAAGAGACTTGACCAGCCACCCTTGAATGAGATTATTGCAACGCTCCCAAGCAGGAAAGAGACAATCATCAGATTTTGACAGAGTGAGCCAGCTATCAACGAATACGAGCTTGTTTTTGAAGAGTAATGCTATGCGCATTGCACAGGCCCAACTATGCTAGTTGGATCTATCAAGAGGAGGGGAAATGAGGACAAGGGCGGGGTTTTCACTAGGACAAATGTAGTAAGGACTCTGTAGATCGATGGAAGTAGGAGAGGAAGAAGAAGAGTCTGCGACTATGGGAGAAGTTGGTGAGGGTAAGAAAAAAATGAAATAGGAAGACGACAGAAGAGAAGAAAAAAAAAGGTTGGCTCCTGATACCATGTAACAATATTTGGTAAAAATGAATAGCTTGTATTTCATTAATGAGAAAATCATATTTATACAAGGAAAGGAATGTATAACAACTTGATATTTACAAATAACTGAATCAGTTTCAAATAATTTAACAAAAATGTTAATCTTTTCCTTCACACTTGCAATAAAAAAAATCCTATAAAATGTTAAACAACTGATATCTACTTCTATTTCACCTTCCTCTGCTATTCCACCATATCATTACATCGTTCCTGCAGACTATATAATCCTCCCCCATATTTGCATGACTATCATTGTGCTCTAATTTTTTCTATTGACCAATCATCGACAAAAGACATCTCAAGGTATCCTTTATCTTCTATTCTTTCATATTCTTCACTTTCTCCTATTTATAAAAACTTTGTTTGTACTATGTCTTCTTTTTTTTAATAGTAAAAACTATCATCAAGCCATTAAACACTCAATTTGGAGAGAAGTCATGACTGTAAAAATTAATGCTCTTAAATAGAACCAAACTTGGGTTCTCACACCTTTACCACCTGGTAAGAAGATTATTAGATGTAACTGGGTCTTTAAAACCAAATTAGAAGCTAATAGTGAGATTGATAGACATAAGGTTAGGTTAATAGCCAAAGGTTACACTCAAACCAAAGGACTTGACTATTTTGACACCTTTTCCCCTGTTGCCAAGATGGCCACTCTTAGACTCCTTCTTTCTATTGCTGCTGCCAAAAATTGGCATTTACACTAACTTGATGTAAATAATGCCTTCCTCTATGATGACCTTGAGGAAGAAGTTTACATGGAATTACTAAAAGGGCTTTTTTGCTCCACAATCTAACATGATCTGTAAGTTACAAAAATCACTTTATTGGCTCAAGCAAGCTAGTCACCAATGGTACTCCAAACTCTCATAGATTGGAATCTCAATAACCAGGGTAACTAATTCTAAACAAATTCACATGGGTTAATCAAAAGTAATCTAAATGTATGAGTATGACAAATAATGCACACCAAAACTCATATCATTTTCATTTTGTTTATATATATGGCAATATACCTAAGAATTATAGCTAACCCTCCTTACAAACACTTGTATTTTTGTATAACTATCTAGATAAATATTTGTACTTCATTTTTTTAAATAAAATACTTTGAGATTTAACAATTATTAATTAAATTAACAGTTTGCAATTGTTTTTTTTAATAATTCAATACATGGCCATGCCCTCCAATATTTGCAGGGGTGAGTCTAGTTGCCTCGTATTGCTAAATATTAAAAATAAGTTTTTAATATATAAAATAATAAAATATGAAAAGAGATTATTAATAAAATAAGCAAATGAGTATTATTATTTGGAAACAATAAAAGAAAACTATATTATTAAGCAGTCACCATTTAATATGAATATATTTATTAAATAAAATCATTTATCATTATCTATTTATTATCTGCTGAAGTTTCTTTCAATAAGATTCATTCTTGGTTTAAAGAAAAATATATGGATATTATATAGATGTTTTCAATCATTTTTTGTTTAAGTAAAAGGAAATATAAATATAATTAATGTTTCCTCACTTAAGAATAAATATTAAATTTTAATTCAGATTGAGTATAAATTTTGGGGATTTTTTTTCAAAAAAATAAATATCCACTTGTAATTATGAGAAATGTTTTCGCCGTGACGACAAAAGTATAATAAATGTCTCATCGGTAAAAATATGTCTTAGAGACTATTTTTTAATTTATTTTTGAGGTTTCGTTTTGCTAAACTAAACTTGCTTAAAAGCTAAAATTAAATTGTGTTTTTTTTTTCGGGGGGAAAAAATGGTGGGATTAAACCTCTGTTGGTCGTGGTCTTTGGGGTCAGCGTCCTCCACCTCAATATATTGACAGTGTCCCAACTTAGCCAGTCGCAGCCGTACTAGGCATTTTGTTGGTTCCATCTTCCTCTACCCAATCTCTCCTCTCTGTATAGCTAGCTGTTCGTATTTTCCTGGTCTTCTCTCTCTTTTTTTCGTTACGAGGAAAAACCCTAGATCTAATCGATCAGAGACCTGAAGATTGGTGTTCGACGGTCTATCTCTCTCGTCTCAGGATCACTCGGTAAAAACTCCAACTCAAATTTTCTTTTTCTTTCTTTTTGTCAATTGTTTCCTGTTTGTATTTTGTAACCAATCTTCTTAATCTTGACGTGGAGACAATTGCCCACGTTCAATCGTTACGTAGTGAATTTGGTAAGTATATCTGTATTTCGTGGGGTCTCTCACTTTTCTCATTTTAATCAGTGACGATTGCTTGCATTTTTATTTACCATTGAATCGTTTGGGTATGATTCATTCTTTCGCTCTCAAAACCCCTTTGGATGATATGCGAAAAAAGTTAGCTAATTGCTTTTACTTTGTAACGGAAGATTGGAAGACAGGTATTTCTGACGTCCTTTTTGTGGAAAGGATTTTAATGTTTTTTTTTTGAGGATTCCGGAATTCCGGTAATGGAAGAAGAGGCCAAGGTGCAGGTCATGGGAGTTATTGGTTCCTGGTTCATGGTAGATAACTCTATCTGTTTGTGCATATATTACAGGAGAGGTTTTGAGACATTTTGCTCCTGAATTCTAGGAGTTCTGCAAGGGGGTAAAGCTTCGGGCTATTTCAAGAAATGGATCCGGCTCGCTATGGGCTACATCAAGGCTGGGATAATAACAGCGTAATTGTGGTTTCCTCCTTAAATATTCACCTATATGGGATGATTATTCAAAGAAACTATTAGCGTTCATGTGATTTTTTACCGGGCTTCTCTCCCTTAAAGATAATGAAAGAGAGCTGTGGGGCAGTGAGGATAAGGACTGGATTTGCCTAACCTCGTGTCATCATTGATTATTTGTTGCTGACATAACTTATTCTCTTGAATCCACAGGCTCTTGAGGGTTATGGTGCGGCTCATGAGCCAAATTATCGGTGAGTGTTGCCTGTCACTTATCATCACCACTATGGTAATATAATGTTTGTGGGTAAATTTTGTCTTAAGCAAGTTATTTCTGAATTTAAATGCTTTGTGGTTTTATGGTAAGTATCTCTTGTTTGACCATGCAATGAGATTTGTTTTTTGAGCCTTGTATGCTGTAAGTTTTGGACTAGTAGGATGCATATACTCATTTGAGTGCATGGAAACAAATTTTATCCTTTTCTTCCCTCCCATTTCATCCCTTCTTTTGCAGGGTGGGTGGTTCATATGACGAAAGGAGGTTTATAGATGAAAGATACTCAAGGGATAATATATACCAAAGAGGTGCCCTCCCCCGTGATGCTTTGGATAGGGAGGCATATCCTCCATCAGGACCTGCTGTTGGCCATTGGAGTGAATCCAAGCGGAGAGGTTATGATGAAGACTATTTGCTGGACAAGGAATCTAGACGTCTTCAAAGGCCTTACTATGATTCATATAATCAGATTGATGCTTTCAGAGATAGGGAGGTTGACATGTATCCAGAATTTGACAAGTTTCGAGATGGCTATGCCAGCATTGAAAACTATGATGATCGAGGATATGATAAACTTGGTAGGTTTGGGGTACATGATCATGATGACTATGCATATGATGATTATGGCTACAAGTCTCGTGTATCCCATCATTATAGGGAGGATAGCCATGAGAGGGATATCGATCATGGCCGTCATAGTCATGATTCTGATTATGGGAGAAGTAGAAGAGATAGCAATTGGAGGCGGCGTGAATCTCGTGACCGAGAACATGATAGAAGATATTCAAGTAGGGAAAGAGATTTGAGTCCGCGTAGGAGGCATGAGCGGTCTCGATCCCGTTCTCGGTCTCGGTCTCGATCCCGATCCCACTCTCATTCTCATTCCCATTCACGCTCTCGTTCCCAATCTCATGGATATGATGATCATCCAAGATCAAGGTCCCCACGAGGTCGAAGTCATGGTCGAAGTTATCGAGAAGACAGCTATGCTGATGGTCGATATGAGAGAAGTGAAAAGCGAAGGGATCGTGAAGAGAAGCGGCGTGAGCATTATTCAGTGGTATGTGTCTATTTCTTTTTATTATCTTGGATGTATGGCTGATGGCGGATTTGATATGAATTATTTTTTTTCTAGGCTCCATCTGCCACTGTTGTTGTAAAAGGTCTTTCACAAAATGCCAACGAAGAAGATCTATACCAAATTCTTGTAATGCGCTCTCCTTGACTTGCTTGGCTGATTATTCCAATTTATTCTTCTAAATTTTTTTTTATGTCTTTTCTGGCATTGATATTTGTTTGCTTATCAGGCGGAATGGGGGCCACTTCGGCATGTTCGTGTTATAAAGGAGCGAAATTCTGGCATTTCTCGTGGATTTGCATTTATTGATTTCCCTTCTGTGGTATTTTCAATGATTACTTTCTGATATTGTGTAATTTCACTTTTGAGAGTGATATAATGAGATAAGGATTATTGGCTAGGGAGCTGCTCGAGCAATGATGGACAAACTTGGAGATGATGGTCTTGTTGTGGACGGTAGAAGGCTTTTCTTTGAATATAGGTACTTTTGTGCTACATTTATTTTCATCACGAGTGTCCTCCGAATTATCTGTATTTTGTAAGTCAAAGTTCAATGCGGTTAAACCCTTTGCTTGTAAGCATGTTATTGCAACTTGAGCTGTATCTTGCTGCAGTAGTAAGCCAACTGGAGGTCCAGGTGGACCTTTTGGTCAAGAGGGATCTATGAAATCAGGTCATAATCATAAAAGCATTACAGTACCATCTGATTGGATGTGCACCATATGTGATTACATCAATTTTGCCCGCCGAACATCCTGCTATCAGGTTCATATTTTTATTTCCCTTTCATTTTTTTTTTAATTTGGTCCAGCTGCAGTCCTGTATATCTTCAGTTGTCTTGTCTAATTTACTATAGGGGTTCATATTTTCATATGGTATTGGTGTGATCCCTTCTCATTATTGCAGTGTAATGAACCACGAAGTGAGGATGCTCCTGCAGCAGATATTACGTTGTCAAATTCTACAGCCTCAGGAAAGAAAGGGTTAGAGGCAGGTCAGAATAACTAACTTCTCTAGCATGTAGGCTGCTTTTATTTTTTTTGCCCCAGCAGTTAGCTAAGATACATGTAATCAGGTCCAACTCATGTGCTGGTTGTTCGTGGATTGGATGAAAATGCTGATGAGGAAATGCTTCGCTATGAGTTCTCCAAACATGCTCCTATTAAGGTGTGTCTGCAATCCTCTTGTACGTTAGAGTGGTGTAGATGTTCTTGTTTGTTTCAAGCTCTGCTCTCTAAATCATCATGGTTATCAATTGCAGGATCTACGTCTTGTGAGAGACAAGTTTACTCATGTCTCCAGGGGATTTGCTTTTGTACATTTTTATTCGGTATGTTCTTTTATGATTAATGATAAAGCGATTATCTCTTGATATTTTTTGTGTTTAAAAATATGATAAAAGTAAATGGAGTTGAATGCATATGACGTTGTTCACTATGAGATGTTTATGAGTTTCTAATATTCTCTTTCCGGTGGGAGAGCTATTTGTATTTATTTAGATTCATGACCTTTTCTATTGAGGTTCTTTATGTTTGATAGGGTTTAAGAATGTTGTGTTATTTGAAGTGAGCTTTTAGCTATGCTTGCTAAAGACACAACACGGAATTTTCATCTTTGGGAGGTTATATAAACAATTATTATGTTTTTTTTAATTAATTGAAATAGACTTCACAACCTTTTGGCATACAAGTTTTATTTGCTTTTTCTAAACTTGAGGTTTTCTATGACTTGCGTAAAAACTTAGCTTGCACATTTTATCTACAGACAAATTAACTGTTGTTTCTTTGTGCTAGCTTGACCCCTTCGCACATGATGTTGTATATTTCAATTTCTTCTAAAAGAAATTTAAAAGAAAAAGACTTCGGAGAGAGATTTCATTAATTGATCAGTGCTTGACAAGAAATTTATTTATAGGTGGAGGATGCCACCAAGGCTCTTGAAGCAACGAATGGAACAACTCTTGAGAAGAATGGACAGATTCTAAGAGTAGCATATGCAAAAAGTATCCTGGGTCCTGGGTCAGGAACATCTGGTACTTCCCAGTCAAGTAGCTTAGCAGCTGCTGCTATTGAGGCTGCGACATTTGCTCAACAGGTTTTCCACCTATTTCATCTATATTATGCAATTGTCATGGATTCTTAATATGACTATGCATTTTTTCTGGGCTTCATCTAGGTGCTAAAGTGAAGCAGGTTGTTATCACTAGGGTGAAATTTGATGGAAAAAGCAGGGTCTTCTGCTTGCCTTTTCCATTGAGTTACTGTTTTACCCTTTGAGATCTTAATCCCTTGATGCGACCTTGTTCCAAGGCTTGTTGCAGTAAAAAGTTGAGAACAATGCAGGATAATCTATTTTAATTTCCAATCTTTTTTATTTTTATTAATGATTAATGATTGTTTTTCAAATGTAGATGATACTTTGAGTGGATTGTTGAGATTTTATTTTTGGTGATTGTTTAATGGTGATATGGATCTGATTTCTTACATTTTTATGTGTTTGAGTCATTAAGTTTTTTCTACCTTCATCATTTACTATAGACACATGCTAAGATCCATATAAATTTAATTCACGTCATGCCTAAAATCTCACTGCCTAATTTGCCATTGATTCAATAAAATTTTGCAACTCCTGCTGAATATTGATTAATCCAATGCAATTTTTTTTCTGCATGTGCTTGTGCCAATGATTAATATCTTGTCCTTTTTGCCTTTTATCAGTATGATTCTGTTGGATGGGCCCCTAAAGAATACAATCCAGATGATAAACAATCTACTGGTCAAGAGCAAACTGGTGCAGCTCAGACAGATGCAATGGCTCCACAAACGGGCTTTGTTTGGGATGAGGCATCTGGTTATTACTATGATGCTGCTTCAGGGTTTTACTATGACGGGAATACTGGTATTTTATCTAGCTTCACTTTGCAGGTGTTAATTCTGCGGTCATTTTGAGAAACTTTATTCGCATCCAACTGCTATTTACTAGCATGGGTTAGCTGGTCAATTATCAGGCTGTCTGTAAGCCTGTATTTCCCTGTTTCTTTCTTATGCCTGTCAAGTATGTATGTTCTTATGCTATATGAGATTGTACTTATTATAGCTCATATTTAGTAGTTTAGCCTTTATTTTAGCAGTATTCTAAAGACTCGACAATGCAGCCATACTTGTGAATTTTTGTTTTTGCACTCCAACCTGTATATTTTTCTGATTCTTTTTTTTTTTTTGGGTGTCGTCATACCATTTTATAATGTGTAGGTCTTTACTATGATGGTAATAATGGGATTTGGTATTCTTATGATCACAATACTCAGCAATATATCCCTTGCACTGATCAAACTGAGAATAAAGCTCCTGGTAATCAGTCTGAACCTTCCAAGGTGTCTGACAGTTCCAGCAGTAAAAAAGTGGTTATCTCTGCACCTGCTACTACTGTTGCATCCTCTGAGAAGCCAGCGTCTTTGGCAGATGCAGTCCAGGCTGCTGCAACTGCTGCCATAGCTGCAGAGAAGAAAGAAAAAGAAAAATTGAAGGAGATAAAGCTTGCTTCCAAAAGCAGTATTCTGGCTAACAAAAAGAAAATGAATAATGTGTTGACAATGTGGAAGCAGAGGAGCCATGAGGGTCAAGCTACTCGTGTAGCTCTGGAAGACAATCACCAATCCACATCCATTGATGACAGGTCTTCTGGATATCCCACAAAGAGCAAGTTCAAAAATGAGACTACAGATACAAGGGAGTATAATGCATCCACTTCAGGGATTCCCACTGCCCCTGCTTCTCAGGCTGCCGCTTCAGATTCTCTGGTCCAACCACGGCCTGTTAGTAATAGCCTTGGAGGCACTCTGATGGGGGTTATAAGAGGATCTGGAAGAGGGATCATTAAATCTGATAGTTCTTATTCAGGGCCAACAGCTTCAGCCGTTTCATGTGCATCAGGCGCATCTTCATCGAATGTAGATGCTCCAACAGTTGCAACTCCCTTTAGAACAAATGTTTCTGCACTGGGTTCTTATGCTACACCTGTAGCTGGTGGAAGTGGTCGAAGAAGGTTTTCAGAAATGCCTCATTCTGCCTCAGCCCCCAAGGAACAACCTCAAACTACCTACAGGGATCGTGCAGCTGAGAGAAGAAGTTTGTATGGTTCATCATTGTCAGCTGGGGATGATTTGGCTGATCTGGAACCTGGGGATTCAAGTAAGATTGCTTAATTTATTTTGGGTTTCATTGCTTTGAAATTTGAATAATTTTAAAAAATTTGCTGAACTTTTGAAGAAAAGTGATTATTTGTAAGTGCTTCAGAATATAGTTTGCTTCCTGTAAGGCTCTGGTCATAGAGGTAGCATAGTTCCTGGTTTGTTAGGGTGTTGATATGTGGTGTTCTGTGCATATCTCGTAGCTGTGTGTATTTGATGATTGGATGTCTGGATTGATGTGGCAACTTAGGGTTGAAAGATACTGTTTATGTATTTCTTTTTGGGTGCATAAATAAAAATTCTGCAATCCTATTTCAGATATCTCCAGCTAACGGAAATTCAACAAAATTGAGTTTATATATTAAGTGCTAATTTGTCCCAGCTAATGAAAGTGGAATTAACTCTGTTGTTGGGTAGTTAACATCATTCTTCAAAAATAATAATAATAATAATAATAATATTTGCTTTTCTGGTCACACCAAGTGATATTTTGGGATCAAATGTCACTGTTCAATCTTTGGAAAATCTACGATAAGAAAGCTGTAAGCTTTGAAGTTCATAGGTTCACTGGTAACTTTACTCAGATGTGTGCATTAACTCGTGAGAAAAAATTTGTTTTTTTACCATATGACCTTTGAAGATCGAGATTTTGCATCGAGGAAGGGTGATCCAATGCCTTTCCCTCCTGGGGTTGGTGGAGGACGTGTGGTTGGGGATGCCAACCTTGATACCTATGAGGTGATTACAGCTGACAAAGCAATTGATGAGAACAATGTTGGCAATCGGATGCTCCGCAACATGGGATGGCAAGAAGGCTTGGTATCATTTCATTCTCTTTGCACTGCATGAGCTGACATATACTGTGGTGTAGGTGTATTTGCTAGAGCTTAGGTGTATTTGGAGTGATTCCTGACCTTACTTTTGACTGGTTAGCATACTTCATATTTTATTCTGGAGCAAAATGGCATCTTCATTTCAGATATACAAGGAATGTAGGGGATTTTTGGTGTTTTGGTTGGAACACTGAATGCAAGGTCAAATAATTCGAGTTTAGACGTTCGTATTCTGAAACATAGCGTGAACACCCTTGCATTTATAATAATCTAATGCTCCTGTTTTTCCCAACTTTTTGGGTTGTTTTTTGAGAGATGAGCTAATGATTCGCATTTAGAAAATGTTTTCCTTGTAGACATTGTAGTATACTTTCTTTTCTTTTTTTCCGCTTCTATAGGACCTGAAGACTTGGATGGAATGCCCCTCGGTACTTGGTATTTCTTCACAGCAGATCTGCTGAAGGATACTAACATTTTCATATTTCGGTTTTGTTTCCTCTTGTTTCGTGAATAATTTGATGAGCAGGGTCTAGGTAAGGATGGAAGTGGAATGACAGAGCCTGTCCAGGCACAAGCCACAGAAAGTAGGGCAGGACTTGGAAGTCAGCAGAAAAAGTTGGATCCTAGCCTTGAGGTTCAGGCAGGAGATAGTTACAAGACGCTTATTCACAAGAAAGCACTTGCCAGATTTTGGGAAATGTCGTAGTTCAGGTCTTAAAAATTTATTTTCTCAGAATATGTGATTAGGGCTTTGCTGACATATTTTCCTCTTGTAAAGTTGCTGACTGGACACACATATAATTGTTAAGTTTTGATGAGTTTAGTTTATTGTCAGCTTGTGTTTGAATAACTCTGCTCCTGATTGAACGCTTAGTCAATTAAGAGGTTTTAAACCTTGGGTGGTCATTTTTACCTTTCTTTTTCTTCTCTATTTTTCTTTCCTCCTAGTTCAAGAATGGGGGGAAGTTGGGATCATGACAAGCACAATTTCTTAGGCCCCATTTGGCATTCTGGAGTTAATTTTTATGAAAGAGGAAGACCTGGCATGAAAGAAAATACGAATAGGAGCAAAAGAAAATGGAATTGGGCTTTGAAAGTACATTTCACGTGTTAGAAAAGATTAATGGAATCCTAAGATGATTTCTATTTAGTCTCTGTTTTGAGTACTAGAATGTCAGGTTTTTGAGATAACACGATGCTGATATACAACTTGTTAAGAAAATCATAAAACTGAAATGGACACCCGATCTTGCCATTGGAGTTGCTAACATACACCTTCAGTTTGGTGCTGGCTGTTGGAGGCTCTACCCCTGTTCACACCCCTTCTGGCTGCATAGGTTCTGTTTTGGGGCGGGTATTGAAACGTCTTTCTAAAATTTTATGTTGTGCAAATAGTCGCATGATGTTGACGGGGCTTACCCGGAAAATGTCAAATTCCTTTTCCTGCCCCTAGCAACGTGCTCCTTTGATCATTTGGATGGAAAATCGCTTTCTTGGAAGCCCGCAGTGAAGTGTACTACTCAACGGATTTTTGTCTTTTCTTTCTCTTTTTCCCGTTTACTCTGTAGAGAAAAAACTTTCACGTTACCTGACAGGGTCTAAGGTCATATTTGTTGGACCTCATGAGGTAGAAGATAGAGGCTTTATAGAGAGAGATGATTTCTTATGTGAATGTTTGTTAGGCTCTTGTCATCGTTATTCAACTATGTCAAATTTTATTATTTTAAGTAGGAGTATTAATCTGTGTCAAATGTGGCTTTAATCTGGCCCTGCTCATTATAATGCGATAGATTTTGCTCTCGGAAAGCTATATTATGCAACTTGTTTGGTATAAGTGGGGACTAAGAAAACAAAAAACAGACTTGGGTTCCTAGTTTAGTGCTAATAGATCTTCAAATATTTGTGTCCCTCCTTGTTTGCAAGTCCCTCATAATGCTAATCTGTTAATTGTTGCAAAATGTAATGTTGGACATTGACGTTATGGGTTGTTAGTTGTGGTAGAGCCATCTTTGGACCCTCTGGTTTCTTCGGATCTGGATACTTTCATAATATTCTCTTCCCTTTTCTTCTTAGAATACTTTCTCCACCTTTGGTCAGAAAATTGCAAGGTTCAAATGTAACATCTTATAATATACTTTGGTCTTAGATATAAAACTTATTGTAGTGTAATTTATATTACGTTTTTAATATTTAAGACTGGAGGAGTAATATTATTAAAATATAAATAAATTAAAAATATTAAAATTTAATCTGGACAGCTTATACCTGTAGTACAAAAAAAATGTTATTAAATGAAATATTGCATTTGAGCCATATATTATTGATTGGGTGTAGGGTTTTTTTTTTTTTTAATTTTGAAATCACAGCAGATTCCCAGCACCGTCAATAGTCTCTGGATGGTTTGACTTCCAATATTGATGATCTAATTGGTGACTTCTATACTGCTAAGTTAGCAGTGCTAACTACCTAGTTTTGGAATAATTGTTGCAAATGAATCCGATCGTTGCGGTTTTTTTCCCTTGAAAAAACGTGGTTAGTTACTCACGCGCGCGCACCACACACGCTCGTGCACACAACGCAGTGTCAATCGCTTGATTAAAGTGCGAGAGCTCCTGCCATTCAAGTAGTCATTATGTTAACTAGATTTGCATGTTGTTTACCTTTACGCTAATGGAAATTGTTGGGATTCACTTGTTTGGTAGTGGAAGATTATTTTGTCAATTTTTTATTTCAAGCATGGCTGGAAAGCAGAGTGACATAAAAATCACAACTTGTTATGATTGAGCGAACTAATTTCTTTCATCTATGAATCTCAGTCACATGTGACCAAGAGGTTCATAAGTCTCTTAGTTTTTGCTTTTGGCTTCGAAGTTTATATTTGAGGTTACCCATCAAATTGAATTTTAAAGTCTGAACAGAAGATGCGAATGTTTGTCATTCATCTAAACTGTCTAAAATCAGATGGGCCACGGTTTTTAAATTAATTTTCTTAAAAAATATTATAATGAAAGTGAAATTACAAGTCCAAATACAAATATTTAGTGTTCAGAGAACACAAATTTACCCAATGCAAAAACACGCATCAAAGATCGCAAATTTAATAGTGACATACCAACGGGGTTAGGTCTAGCTCCCACAACGTGGTGAACCAAGGTTCGAATCCCTACTGGGAGAGGTGTCCACATTTAGTGGTTAACAGTGCCTCGAATAGGATTGCCTCTAATAGGATGATACTTATGCTTTAGCAAAAAAAAAATTAATGTCATTGTCATCACGTATTTTCATAGGACATTGCCCTGTTCGAGTAGTTTCAGAAATTCGCGGTCCTTCAAACTTCTGATTTTGGTCTTTTTTTTATTTTTAGAATCACTAAGTAAATGATTTAAAACATACTGATATTCCCTTTTTGAATGAAATGGGAATTCTCTATTGTATTAACGCATTCACAGAGGATTTTCATTTTTCTTCTTTATTCTTAGAAGTCATTATTTTCTAAAATCTCTTATCTGGCATCAATTGTGATGCAAATGCAGTATACGAAGATAATGTATATTAAGTATACAATTTTAAATTTCATACTCTCTGCATTCTTTTTTATAAAATAAATAGCAGTTATTGTATGGTTTAAAAAACTTGTTAAGATTAGTTAAAAGTAATAGATATGTAAAAAAAAAAATACACCTCTTTTAAATAATACGTCCTTATTTATATAGGAGGATAAGTGAGAGAGCAAAATAGTGAGAAGCAATATGAAAGGTAATATATGAAAAATATGATAATGCAATTAATTAGATTAATTTGGTAAAAATGTATTACTATATCTTATAAAAAAGACTAGATTAATTCATAAATTTGAATTTTATTAAAAAGACTTAAAAGATGTATTAACGTTGATGACAACAAAAACTAAGGAAACAAGACAATTATATATGATCCTAGAATGGGTTAATATAATTTTTAATCTCTTAAATTTGCTTTTATTTTGATTTTGACCTCTCAAATTTCAAACCAGATTTTGGTCTTTTAAAAGACAAAATGATTCATGTATTAAATTAGGCAAAACTGCAATAAGGTCACACTCAAGGGAATTAAATATAAAAAGGTCCCTTGAAATCATCAATTATTTTAAAGTCCCAAGGGACTTCATTACAATAAATTTTATTTGTTTAATTATCAAATTGTCCCTTTTTTTTAAAATTTACATTGACAACTGAAAGAACAGTTATCGACAACTTAAGGTGTAATAATTGACACCTATCGCGGCAGGTATTGACAACATGTCAATACTTGCTGTGATAGTTGTCAATTTTTACACCTTAAGTTGTCAATACAACAATTAAAAAAAATTTAGTAATTAAACAAATAAATTCTCTTACAATAAAATCTCTTGTAACTTTAGAATAATTTGATGATTTCAAGGAACCTTTTGGTATTTAATTCCCTTGGATGAGACCTTGTTGCAATTTTTTCATTAAATTATAGGGATTAATGTTTTAAATAGAAATAGATTTGATGGATCAAAATTTATTGTTTAAAACTGGAAAAATTAAAACCAACATAAGAATAAGTTAAGAACACGTAACATTCCAGAATTTATGCAGAACTTAAATTATTTATGAATGCATGTGTCTATATACGTAGATGGCAGGAAATAAAATGCATACTTATGTCGGCATGCATAAATCCCCATTTATGGATCTATATAGTATAATTGTGTGCGCGTGCATAATTTAAATTTATTTTGAGTATTTATGGCGGTCCAGAATGCAGATCCTAACGCAGATCATGCCACTAGGATCACATTGGAAATCATTCGACAAGAGCCACTCAACACTTACCAAATACGTCATTGTTGAGTCATATTTGACAATGACGCAACAACAAAACAAATACATTCAATATTTAAGACACATGGCTTTCTCAAGCTGATTAATGCACATATCTAGAACATTTATGTACATATTCTCATGTCCCCACTCTCTTGGGCCCTCCGAGATGCCTAAACACTACCACCCCCAATCTTTTGTTTTTTTTTAACCTTTTACTCTCCCCTTTACGGGTCAGTGTCACTAAAATGTATCCTTGAAACAGTGTCTTGTGATCAAAATTCTCCAAAGGGCATTAAAAAGAAAAAATTCTCAGCTCTATAGAGCTTTTGTATTCGCCTTCTTTTCTCAACTATCAAAGGATGTAGTGGGAAATGAAGCATTTTTTGCAATAAACAAAGGGGCCGCATCCCAATAGGTTCACGTCTGTCTCTTCCAAGTGTACGACACAGCCACCGATAATGCTTGAACGGCGTGCACGGTCACTTTGCCTCAAACCTTGTTCCGTGAGAGAGTTTGTAACAAGTCAAAGTGTATTTTTAATGAAACGAGACTAAGGCTGAGATGTCACGGACTCCTGCCTGCAATCTTGATGTCAATTCAACAGAACAATCTTCTTTGCTGCAATAACATTTCAAATTAACTCAGCTCTCCAATGCAAAAACAGAAACAAAAAAGAAGAGAAGGAATGCGAATTTTGGTTGACAAAAAAGATGTCTGATACTCGGGAGGACCACAGTGAATAATTGGTGAAAATTAAAGAAAAATAAATGAGAACTAAAGTCTGAAGAATGAAATCTCTCAAACCACAATGTTGGTGACTGTCCAAGACACCTCAACAAGTGTGAAAACTCTTTTTAACAACGAAAAAATTCATTCTTCGGTCCCACTGTATTCTCTCTGATGTCAACTATATATTTTCCAATAAAAATTCCTCGGCTGATATAAATAAATATATATATAGAGAGAGAGAGAGAAATCATTAGCCCCTTGTTCACCCTCCTCTCCATTGTAACCTCAAGATGACAAAGTCTGTTTCTATTAAATCTTTCGTAGAATAGTGTATTATCGTTTGATCATCGAAAAGGGATCGTTTGCTAGAAGCAACTTACTCGACACTTTGCTTCCTGCAAGTTATCCACCGACTCAGAAATCTCAAGTTGCTTCATCACTGTGGCATGTAGTACCTGTGTTAATAGCAAACGTACATAGCTGAAGATATCATTACCAGCGTAACAATGAGAAGTTATGGACGATTGAAGAAATAAGTGGCATACCCTCTTCGTCTTTTCAAGGTCAAACTCAACTGATTTAATCCTATCTAAGGATTCCATTAGCATTTCCTCCTTCTCCAGAGGCATATCAGTAGGTTTTTTGCTAAGTTCCTCAAACGCTTGTTCTAGTTTCTGAAGACGCTGTTCATATTGTTCATGAGGAAAATTATGATCCCTTTCATCACCTGCTCCCACTGCTGGTGATGGGTTATTGGTGTTATGTTCGACAGGATCGGGTGGGGAAACACTGTTCTGAGATCTCCAAACTTCAAATTTTAGACCACAGAAGTACGCAACAAGCTTATCCAAGAAAGATAACAGAACTCTTGCCACATAGAAGAAATCCCTTCTCTCTATTTTCTCCTTAAAAATGTTGAACCAATGCCTGAGCAAAGTGCCTGAAATGGTATTTGGTGCTTGTAAGTTCCAAAGGAAAAAAAAAATGCTGACTACATGCCAGTGATATTGTTACACTCAATGAGTACCACCAAGCCAAACTATACTAATAGATAAACTGAATTCCAACTGTTCCAGCTTAAAGCTACAAATAAGAAATGTTTACAATGTATATTCTACTATTATGGTATAGAAAATAAGACTGGTCAAAAATTTTGCGTAAAAAATACCTTCTGAATTTCCCCTGCGAGCAATATTCCTCATATCAGCATTTTGAAGAGGCTGATCCTCGTTATGGCGACATTTATCACTTTTGACCGCTTTCTCAGCAGCAGGAATGGTGCTATCATCACAACTATAGCATGCATTGGATTCTAATACCCTGACCTGCAGGAGACATTTTTTTCCATCAATGAAAACACGAGAAATGCACTCAATACATAGAGACAGGATCATCATATGAATCTCATCTAATTGCATCAAAACTCACTTCTTCATGAACTGGATCTAAACGAGAATAAGTAGAACTCCTCTGTCCCAAGGGAGAACAGGGATCATCAATATCAGAACCTGATTCAGCTGTTGACGTATCACTAAATCTTCCCTGAGAGATGAGCAAAGGCAGAAGTTTAAAACCAAATACGCAGTAACTAGAAAAAACACACTAACATCCTAATATGCTTCTGTCAAGAAGACTGAGACCCACCTTCAGCGGGCGTAGCTGAATGTGAGGGCCAAAATTCTGGTGGTCCCTGGATACTCTTGTGATTTGCCTCACAAATGTTCCCTCCGAATTTTGTACCAGCTAGAATCAGAATATCCAGATTTATTACCAAATAATAGTTTGACAAAATAATTTTCAGCCTAAATATATCCTCCAGTTTCCACTCTAGTATAGGAGTAGTATATATATTATCTCAAGAAAAGAATACCTTCATGATATCAGGATCGTTCCATGGACCCTTGTTAGACCTAAGACATCCACCCTCTACAGGACACGTACATGATCCTCCCAAAAAGTCTGGTAGTTGACTGAAAATAAGCATTTACAAAACAGTAATTACTCAAAATAAAAGTTGAAATTACAACACATTATGATGGAGGCACATGTGCATACCTAGAGTCAATGACCTCAAGTAGTTTGTGTAAAGACTTGGGTTCAAGAACCTGTCAATTTGTGAAATGGATAAGATTAAAAATAGAACTACATGAAAAAGGCATGAAATATAGCTGAGAGTTATATTTTTCACCTGTATCTTTGATAAAGTTTTGGCATCAAGAAACTTTTGAGCAGCAGGCCAAAGCATCTTTTTGAAACCAGTGCCAGCATTCACGATATACATCCGATGTAAAGTCTATACATATTTTACGGGGAAAAAAAAAAGTTTGTATAAACAGGAAACAAAGCATTGAAAACAAACTAATTTGAAAAGTGAAGAGATAGAAACCTCAGGATAGTAATTGTTATCTATTTTTGACAAAGTGGCCAAGAGATTCGCAGCAGTAGGTGAGAAGTTTTTCATTCCCTGCATCACGAAATTATAAAATAGTTCAATGCCGTATGAATTATAAAGAATAAAATGAAAAACAAAAACAGAAATACATAAAATTTCATTCTTGCAACATATAAATTTGATGGAGTTAGTTTAGTTCAGTGTACATACCAAGCCCTGTACATCCAATATTGTTGTTGTCGAACAAATCCGTCTCTTCGCTGCAATGGAACATGCAGGAAATTTCTCCAGCAGAGCCCTCTCAAACTCTTGGACATGATATTTCACATACCGATCAATTGTTGTTATGCGCATGAGCCGGCTTGGATGAGCTTTCCCGAGTCTCTCAATGTACACTGGTCTTCCTTCCTTATCGACTCCATGATAACCTTGTGGGTAATACTGCAGTACTTCTTCAAGCTCTTCAAATTCAAAATCCTTCAAAAATCACTATGGCATTAGAGTTAAATACAAACTGAATCAAGTGTATTTTAACACAAAGCATGCTGATGCTATAATACAAACTTTACAACAATATAATTTACCATTTGAATCCCATCACAAATGGAAAAAAATCATTGAATTCAACATATATTTGAACCGTAAGCATGGTAAAATAAAACGAAGGGAGAAACTATATATATATAGATATATCTTCTCTTATATTGAAAAATCCTATGGTCTAAGTATATGCCTCGAGTCTCGAGAGGATGCTGCACACATTACTATTACCATTCTTACCTCAAGGATGGAATCTGCCCCATATTCTTTTCTCCATGTAAGCATTTCCTCCCACATCTGGATAGTCTTCTCAATGTTAAAATCCCTAGCTTTCAGAAACCTACATGGAAAGTACAGTGTGTCGTTGAGTGTGCAAGAGCAAAAGGAACGTTTCTGTGATATCCAAAACGCTTAAACCAAGGAAAAGAACCAAAAAGGGGAGGAAAAAACAAACAGAGAGAAGGTTTTGAAACTGTTGTTGCCCATTGGAGTCACGAAAATAGCAAGCAAAGAAAGATCAGGTAGGTCAGTGACTGAGTGAGAGTTAAAAAGGAACAATTCATATTTGTTTTTTTTAAAAAATCCATATTAAAAATGTAGCGCTTTTTCACCCAAAAAAAGGGGGGAAAATAAAATGAAAAACAAAAAGGAAATGCGCCCTTAAACAAGGAGGAAAATGTCGAGAAACAGTTGCCTATTTACATGTAGAATGCTAAGAATGAATGAGGAACAGACCTCAACAATGTATGATAGTCATCATGCCTAGTAGGTAACGATCCTCTCTCACATAGTTTTTGACGCAGTTCTAGGACAGCAGTTTCCTCCTGTGCATCTCGCACATCTTCAATGGAAACAGGTGGAACCCTATAGTCGATTTTCCTTTTCCCTCTTTTCTTAAGAGAATGAGTGAACTTAGATGAAGCATTTATTGCTTTCTTTTTGAGTGTTCCAATTTTGGACCGCCGCCTTTCATCTTCAGAGTACTCAAAATCCAACCTCCTCTCTCTAATTTCATCGTGAGTGCCAAACCCTTCAAGACCTTCCACAACACATTATAATAAATAGCAGTCAGATATTAGCTTTGTTGGCACCCAAAAAAAAAAGGGGTCAACATTAGTTTGGTTATTTGCACCAATAAATAGTGCATATCAAGACTCTTGAAAAGCATAAGACACAAAGTGATAGTCACAGCAAGGCATACCTGACATTTTAGTTTAGTAGATGTGGGCTATGGTTGATCCTCGTTAAAACGGGGAGGCGGGCTCACAGCAGAGTCAGTCTGTACATAGTCCAGCCTCCAGACTGTCATAAATTTCCGCAGGAAGAAGTAGTGAATCAAGTTTAGGAAAGTATGCGCATTTATTAGAGATCTGGCCCCAAAAAGAAGTGTACTTAGTAGAGAGGCTTACATTCTCTGCACGAATCACGATCTGTAGATGCAAGAATCTATGAAGAATAAATTAATACATTTGATCTTCCCAAAGATAGGACAACAATGGAAGCCCTTCGAAGCCAATGAAGTTACTATAGAGCGCCGTCAGCTACCCCTGCAACATATGGTATTTAGGCGGCAAGAACAATAAAATAGCGCAAGAAACGGTAGCATCTAGAGGAAGCAAAACATAATAGACGAACTGTTCATACTAATTTAAGCAAACTTGTAGAACTGATTATCTAGCTCATTTGGTTGGGTTTTCCCTGATAAATCCTGGGAAAACAATTTAAAAATTTGAGAAAACAGAATAAACGAAACCATTTAGGGCCGCCCCCCCCCCCCGGCCCCCCAAAAAAAAGAAGGCAAAAGTAATATAGAATAGTAAATTCGACATTTGTGCTCCATTCAGGCAAAAACTGTAGCGAATCAGATTCACACCACCGTGTTTGCACATATGCAATTAGGTTGCGGTTATTGTTTCTTATTAATTAGAACGAAACAAACGAGCTCTTAATTCTTCCTGGAGATACAAGAGGAACAAAGAGGTACAGAGAGATAGAAGAAACAAAAGGCAACAAATATGTGAAGTGTGAAACTTCACAAAGAAAGTGAAATCGTCTCCAATTAAAAGCATCCAAAGCACCTGACGAAACCAGAAACCGCATTGAACCGAACAATGCCGATACGGAATGCACGGATCACAAACAAAAGAGAAACCCCCAGCACCAAGAGACACTTGTAGAAATACATAAAAAAGAGAACGCAAAAACAAAAACTAAAAAGCGGAAGCAGGAGAGGACACCGACAAGGAAGAAGAGGAAGAAGTAGTAGAATTGGGGAGAGAGAGAGAGAGAGACAGAGACATACCTGAGCGCAATCTGGTGCAGGAGAGAGAGAAGCAAAGATTGCAGAGTAGATTGGGAAGGTGAAGCTCAAAGAACGAGAGAGAGAGAGATTGTTGAGGTGGAAGGGAAGCAGCAAAATAGGGGAAAGGAAAAAATGAAGATGTCTTGCTTCGGTTCGCTTTCTCTATGGTACGCTCTTTTACGTTTTTTCGTTACTTTTTTCTTCGCTTAGAGTGTTCTCGGCGTATTAATATATGCAATAAATTAAGGGTATTAAAAAATTAATATCTTTATTAAATAAACTAAACCAACGAAACTTGGCCGCGTAAGTTATGTTTAGACGGAGTAAAGCAAGTAGTTGAAACCGGTTATTCTGGCAATTTTTAATTTATGGTCTCAACAATAGCCGGTTCTTTGGCCAAAAAAAAAAACTACTAATTTAGAAATATTAAAAAAAATTAAATAAACTATTTTAAAGTATTATATTTTACCTTTTTTTTCAAAGCTAATTTGCTTAACCAATACTACCTCCGATCCTAATTATAAGAGCTAGTTGATTAATTTAAAGAGATTAAAAAAATAAGTTAAGTTAGTTATTTGTAATAAATAAGTATTGTCTTTCTTAAAATATCTTTGTTAATCAAGTTTATTGGTTAGAACTATCATTATTAGAAGGACTATCTTGAAAAAATGCATAAATATGATAAACAAAGTGGATTGGAATCTTATAATTAGGACCAAAATAAAAGTCAAACGAGGTCTTATATTAAGGACCGGAGGTGATATATAATCTAATAATACATATTTTAGAGAGATTATGTGTGATGTGCTATAACTAAGTAATTTTTAAAATTTTTTAGTTTCCTTAAATTAGTTAATTAGATCTTATATTAAGAATCAAAACCAGTATTTAAATACTTTCCAGTCTCCATATTATAAAACGCCTCTAATTAACTTACTAAAATTTAGAAGATACAGTTAAATTATCAATATTGTCTGAGAATAGAATAAATTTCTGGTTTCTGATTCTACTCATATTTATATAAAAAAAAAACTTTAAATATGTACTGTATTACATTCTCTCTTGATACTGAAAATTTTAATTAATGACTTTAACCATGAATGATATCGGGGGAAAAAAAGTAATGCTACATTAAGATCATCAACCAAGTATTCGTAATAAAAGATCATTCATCTCTTTTGGTAGATATTCCCTCCTGTCCATTGTAGTAAAATGCAAATAAAATTATATGAATAAAAAAATAGTTGAAAACAATAAATATAAAAAATGCAATTTATCTTTAAAAAACACCCTTATTCATGGAAAAGATGAGTAAAGGTGAATGAATGAGGAAAAAAAGATGAAAGAGAATAAGTAAGAAAAAAATATAATGGAAAAAATTTTAAAAAAACAGTATTAGTATTAAATATTTAGACACAGATTTTAAGAAAATTGTCCTTATTTTTTTTGATAGTATGACAGCTGTTATCTTACTAACTGGGGTTGTAATGCTAATCGAGGTGTTTGGTTTGCAGTAAAAATATTTTTAAAAAGTATTTTTATCCGTATTGAAACAAAATTCTTTTTATATATTTACTTCATATATTGTAAAATCACTTTTAAAACTATAATTTAGTTTTTTAACCTACACTTCTTTAATTTAAGAGATAACAACCCTCTTGCAAACCAGATAACTAAATTTTCTCATAAGATCAATAGTAATTTATGTATGCTCCTCCATCTTTTGACTGAAGAGATGGTAGCTGATTAATGAAACTTGTTATCTTTATTTATTGATATGTAACTCCTCTTGAGTAAATGAAATCCAGTTTATATTTAGAAAAAAACTATTGCTTCTGGTTTTTAATATAAGTCTAATTGACTAATTTAAGAAAATGAGTTAAGTTAGTTATTTGTAATAAATAGGTATCGTCTTTTCTAAATTACCCTCACTGATTATATGTGTTTGAATTACCCATTTATAGTAACTCCTTAATATAGGCAACTATTATATGAATCACTTGAATGCAAAATAGATAAATGTTAAAAAGAAAATGTATTGGAATCTTATATTTAAAATCAAATTGAATATCAAACTAACTCTTATATTAAGATGGGAGGAAGTATATTTATTTGAAATATTATAAAAAAGGATTAGCACTTAGAAGAGATGTATTTCTTATAATAAGAAGTGGGAGTATGTCTTTTTATAATTGCTTTTAAGCTGTAAAATATTATCTAATATTTTGTGAGATTTTTTAAAAAAAATCAACCCACCTAACTTTAAAAAAATAATAATAAATTAAGTCAGGTCACTCATGAAGTGTGTGATGCTACTTTTTCCTTTACAATGGTATTATTTTATTGTTCATCTCCTTCTCTCCTCTCTCTCTCAAGTGTCTTATGAAGAGCATAAATTTCGCATACCTTCATTAAATTTTGTTTTCTTGGTGTTTTCTTGTGGTTCATTCAGCCCTTGGGTTCATGGAAGACTAAGAGGGTGCTTGGAAACCAATAAACACTTTAAATATATTTTTAGTAAATCGAGACAAACTCATTCATATATTTATATCGTACACTGTAAAAATATTTTTAAAACCATAGTTTTGATCTTACCGCCCAAACACCCCCTAAGATTTGATGTTTAAAAATCACCCAATCAGGCCAAAAAGAATTAATTCGCCCCATAATTAGCTTTATTTCCCAACCGTTTCCTGGGGTTAGCTTTACTGCGTTCATTTTCTAGGTCAATATTCTTCATTTATTTCAATCAAAAAAAAATATTCTTCATTTATTCATCATTATTAGGCGATGCTTTTACATCTTTCGCATTTTATTTGAATAATAATTTAGATTTAGATTTTTTAAAAAAAATTCAGATTTATTTTTGTTTTATATTGTATTTTTAAATTCAAAATAAGTATTAAAATTTGTAAAAAAATTAAATAAAATTTAAAATGAAGATGAGCATTATTTAAAATTAAAAAGTATCATTATTTTTAATTTTTCCTTAAAATTTATAGTTTAATTTTAAAATTTATGGTTTAATTTTAGTTTCTCTCTTTCAGAAAAATTAAATATTAAAGTTTTTTTAAAAAAATAAGCCGACTAAATCTAGTATAGATTGTTGAAGGGCGAACACTGAACACAGATAAGCATCAAATCTTATGATGACTATGAGCACCAGAAATTATCTTTCATCTCAATCCTTTGTAGATCGTGAGTTTTATTCGTCTCCTTTATTATCTAAAAAGAATAATGATCTTTTCAATTTAATCCCTTGCCTATGCAAAATTCTCAATGTGATCCCTAATAATTAAAATCATAATTAATAATAATGTTTTTTTACCAATGGACATCATGTTAATCATAGTGCAAAGAGTTTTAGCTATTTAAACACATCTCATGTTGGAGTTTCTATAAATGCAGAATTTTTTTTTTGGGAGAGTTACTCCAATCAGGCTTAACGATGCTTAAATTTAACCCAATGAAATAGTCATTTTTAAAAAATATTGGTTTTTAAGATGGATTTAAAAAAAAATACGAAATTTTTATTGCAATAAAAAAAAATTACAGGGGATAGTTTAACTCTGGGAGAAAAAAAAGGGTGGTCACATCACTCCAAATATGGAATTGGATCCGACAAAGACTTGTAAGATTATTAAATTTGGTTAATTTGTTGGTATGCTAATTCGTTTACCTAAGTTGATTATAATTTTGTTTGTGTTTGGCTTGAGAGCGTAGGGTGCTACATTATTTAATTAGTTCAGTAAAGTTACAGCGTGCTGGTTTTTCACCTTTTAGCTGTTTGGGTATCTGATTCTTTTCACGCCATTTTACTTTTTCAATGTTTGTTCATTTCAATTCAGATCCATTTCCCAACAACACAACACAACACTTTGATCTCATCCCCTAAAGTTTAGATTTGTAATTTTTCAAAAACAAAATTCAAAAAGAAATTTGTTTTTTCAGAGTTTTCTTGATCCTATTGATAAGGTCCAACAATATCTTATTTATAATATTTATTAAAACCTTCCGTTTCAACCCCTATTAAAAGGAGTATTAAGTAATGAGGATAATTATCAAACTTTAGATGTATTTTGGCAAACATGTACTTTTATTTTGATTTCTAATTTTATAAAGTATATTTTTGGTCTTCTAACCTCAAAACTGCTAATAGAAAGCTTATTTTTTTTATCTATTGTAAAAAATAAAAAATAAAGGGAGTATATGTCAAAATTATTTGCTTTGGAAATTTACTAGTAATTTATAAAATATTTTAAATTTAATAATTCATGACCATATTAGAATATCTTCATAAGATGCCCGAATTTTTTTATATTTTGGTGAGATATTAGAATACAAATCTCATCCCCAAAAAAAAAATTTACCATAGTTTTTTTTTTACCAGAAATTTACCATAGTTTTGACTAAAAGATGGCGGCTCTTCTTCATCTTTCCATTTGTAATCATGAATAAATTAGGACCTCATCGTTCTCTTGACAAATAGAAAATACTAGCCCCATGAAAAATGTCATTTTCAATGGCCCATTTCCAGCCACAAATTTTGTTTGTAAGTAATAAATACTCGTATTATATATATAAATAAAATAGTTTTAATAGAACTGAAGGAAAAATTGGTCCCCTCTTCTAGTTCATTTGGAATTGTGACTTGAGAGGAAGTGGCAGAAAGGAAGGAAAGCAGAAGAAAACTACAGGAGAGGCAGAAAAAGTAGGAAGGAAAAAGAAAAGTGAAGCTGCAGAGTCCCCATAGAGCTTGAAAGCTCTATTTCATTTACATTCCCCCAATACTATATTTATTAATTAATTAATTATATTTTTTTAATTTTTCATCACCATATATTTAATTTATATGCCAGCATTGTTACTTCTTACCACAAATCCATTAACTAAATGCCAACCGCTGCTCTGACTCTGACCACTTTTAGCCACACACAGCTCAGAAGGAATTCAACAATACAACCTTGTAATTGCAGTTCAATAAAATCGCAGCTCCCTGCCGATTTAATAAAATCATTCTACAATCATAGTACTCGTACGTCCGTTTTGTATGCAGCACCATTCTTCTTCTTTATAAATATAAACTACATTTACAAATTATTTTAAATT